TATCACCAAACTTTTGGGTGTTGTTGGTGCTACTCGCCTTCCAGGATGGGGACTGTGTGATCCTCACTGCGCCTGGTTGAATACACTGCAGGATATGGCTAACAATCTATGCTAGTGTTGTTGTCAGTTTATATCCAGATTGTCTGAATGAGTATTCGTGGTGTGGATACCTCGGAATGCTTGTAGTAAGCTAGCACTAAGTCCCTTTCCCATGCACCTTGATTCTTTCCCTCTACATAAGGCTTTCAGATAAAACATGTTTGTAAGGTAGCGAAGCATCGGGCTGAACACTAATGTCATGTTATCGATGATGATGATGTTGAATGATGATGATGAATGATGATGATGATGATGATGGTGATGATGATGATGATGACGATGAGGGAAACGGTGATGACGACAATGGCGGTAATGATGAAAGCAATGACGATCATGGTTATGATGACTATATGAGCGAGCTCGCGTCTCTTGCTACGAGGTAGCCAACGTGGCAAGGTTGAGAGTGGCATGGGAACACAAGCATATGGATGAATTGAATTGATGTTGTAGGTTGGTTTCTGTTCCTATTTGTTTTTCACCTGTACTTCACACCATCAACAGCGTGCGCATTTTATGCCAGAAACTGATTTTGGATTTCCGCAATCCTTCACAAACGTTCACGTAACAAACAAGACTAGATGGCTGGACAACTCAGAAATAAAAGTATGTTACATGACACGCGTAAAAACGTTCTATTTAGACGAGTCTAAGCTACTTAACTTCGGTTTCGTTCTGATGCCGGGCACCTTTCTAGCATGGAATACCAGAACTTCTGCCAGGGTGCTTCTTAAGTTTATATAAACATCCTTTGTTTTCTAGGGTTTCCGCTTGCACAACCTGTGGCACCATCTTCCACGTGGATTATGTAGCTGCTGCATCGTCGTTCCAGAAAACTCCTTTAAGATTTCAGTGTATTTTCTTCTGCTGCACGCCTTCTTGTATTTAAATTGGTTCCTGTATCAAAAACTTTCGAATTTCACTGTCAAATTAAATGCTCCTAGCTCTCGACAGTGCTGCTCGCTTGAGTTTTATGATCCAAATGTAAATGGTTGCGAGACTGTCACCCGCTTGCTTTTTCAAGTCGAACACTCACTGTCTCCATACTCAGCAGGGGTTGCCTCCGTCTACTTTGAAACATGGCGGTCAGCACGTTGGAGTCTAAAATGAGGATACGGGTAAACTCAAACGTCTTGCGTGGGGACCTTTGAGTGACGAGCTTCAAAAACCGCGTCCCACTGTCATCCTTGTTATTTTGAACGAACTGAGGAGGCTTTACCTTGGTTTATGAATGTTGAATGGGCGCAGACAAGCGTGATTCACCCTGATCATTAAATGTCATTGCACGCAGCAAAATCCCCATAGGAGATCCTAAGTGCAGCCTTGCAAGAATTCGAACGCGCTGGTTGGCATTTGAGATATTTAGGAGGATAACTGGCAAAAGTATTTGCCCTCTAACTATCCTCCTATCCAAGCAGTCAAAACATGACATATTTTTGTAAGCTGACCCGTGCATGGTAAATATTTCCAAAAAAGAGTTAACAGACTGCGCTCTCCTCAGAAGCCTTTTCCCTGCAGGACATCCAGTCTCCTCAAACACATATCGCTTTAGGAGCAAACCAGCGCGTTGTTTTCTCAAAAACACACTTCCCGCGAAAACTCAGAACTTAACTCTATCAAAAGAAGTAAATCCTGCGAGAAAGTATTTTTCCGTTTTCCAGTTTGGCGCCTTATTGTCCACAGTGAACCAATCAGCGAATCGCTGCGGTGTGGTGGGGTGATAATTGCTCATTTTCATCAGCCTGAAGAATGGGTTGTTCTTTCATCCATAGCATATTAAATCGAGATATTGGAGACTAGAGACCCAAAAAGTCTAGTGGTGGATGAAATTCAAAACAATGAAATTTGTCAGGTAAAAGTTGTGCTTAACCAGTACCTACTTCCGGTTGTGAATTTTCGTGTAACACGTTTAAGCACATCAATCGTAAAATTCGTCTACAATCAATCTGCTGTTTAGAGTACGCTGAATTTGGCAGGAATCTGTGTTTCTATCAAAATGCGTAGACTCTACGTCACTTTATCTTGTTCGTAGATTTGTCCGCGAAGGAGAAATGCAGTGCAATATTTATAGGTTACTAAGGATCCTTCGGGCTACCTACACATTCCAAAAGAAAACACCAGCAACATCAGTGACCGTGTCATTGCTGCAGCAAACATCATAATGAGCTGAACATATGCGGATTATGATAAATGGAGGGAATCGCAGAATCTATCGAGTAGGAAGAATACCTTTTCCACTAACTACCTCATTTTTGTCTAGATACCGAAACTGGTGCATGGAGATTTTAAACTTGATGCCTTTCTTGAGTCCACCAAATGGTACTTGTTGACTGTGGCCGTATCAAACATAGAAAGCCAGAAAAATTTTGCCTCAGGAAGAACCCCCTTCCCTCAAGAGCAAATGAAAAGAATTTCTATCCAGTCCTCTTGAAACTTTGCCTGGAAAATATTCATTTCTCTGCTTTCAAGGCTATGTATCTTGCCTGGAAAGTTGCGTGTTTTATTTCCTCAACTAAATTAAACCCGATTCGTTTTTGATACGCCATCTCGATCTGTGAAGCATTCGGAAGAATTAAACAGTTTGGCGATCTCAACCTTTTTTCATCTCAAGAGAGGTCCTCTTTCTAAACAAAAACACTCTTTTTTCTGAGGGAGGCTTACTTTGATTTATTCAGCACAGAAAACACAATGAACTACGCTGGTTTTACTCAAAACATATGGTCCCAACCATGGTACTGGGGTTAGCTAACCAATCGTTCAGATCAATAATCAAATGAATTTACCTTAGTGAATCAGGACACAATGATCGATATATTTCGGATGCATAATTTGTCAACTGCTCCATTTTTTCGCATGTTTGCGAAAATACGCCAAGTGCCGATGGCGCAGGAAAATTGTCCTTGTGAACGAGCTATCTCTTCTGAACGTGAAGTACACATATATATTCTACCAAGGGCATCTACCTCAATAGATATTTCTTCTACACTTCTGACAATAAATTATCCTGCATCCATCTTTTTTTCTTCGCGAAGAGCCTTATACTAGTTTGGAAATGTATTTCATGTGGCCTCACTTTATTCTGACTCTGCTGGGAGTCCTGACCCTACTGAGGAACAATAAAAAGTGGGAAAAAAGTAGTGCTCCACAGCGATGTGTCTCACGAAGATGAGATTTTCTTGTGATCCTTGGCTGGAAAAAATTGAAACGCTGACTGGGACAAAGCAACCAGAAAAGCAGCAGGTTGCATTCTATAACGCTCCAGCAATTTCCAGTTGCGTCTAAAAATATCCGGCAGTTACTAACTAAGCCTCTCAGTTCAGGTGAACTATATAGACCGCGGATATTCCTTTGTATGCAATTGGTTGGAACGTTTGGGGTAAAATTGAGCCTACATATACTTTCAACTCATAAACAACCAAAACTTCTCAACTAGATTAACCAGCAACCAGAAATGTCGAATTATAACGGTATGTCCAGACGGAATGACGAACGAAAGGGATTCAAAAAGAGATAACTTTTTTCCTAATGCAAATAGGAGAAGGTGCGCAAACATCTAAAGATTCAAAGGTTATTACATTTTATCCCCTACGCATTTCAAACCAATCATTCCCTGTGGGAAGAGAGCATGACAGCTGTCAAAGAGTTTTCAGCAACCTTTTGAGTAGTTTTCTTTATGAAAATAATTGGTTTTCTTGAATGGGTTAGCAGCGATGGCCTGTTAAACAAAACTCTCTTACGACGGGCCAAGGAATGTAGTTGAAGATAAATGGCGCGCTGCTCAAAACGACTTCGATATTTCAAGATCGAATAGACTGGACGCTTGATAAAAGTGAACAATTTTTGTCTGAAGGATTAGCTGCCGGGGTACGTTTGGTATAATCAGGAGTGGTGCGTTGATTGCTTCCGGAAATGTGGTCTTTTAAGTAAGGCAAGGCCAGTCGACGTAAAATCGAGTATAGAATAGATGCTGCTTGGTCAAGCATCATTTTTGGTCCGGTTCACCACAAATTCGGTCCTCTTAACTCAATATATTTCGTGGACTTATACCTGCATGGCACAGATCTTTGCCCAACCTATTGTTTTATTAGAAGGAGCTTTTTCCTGGGTGGTCAGTTGGATATATGAAACTGACCAAAAACTGCTTCAACCGTCAAAACTAATCCAGCCGAGCAGTAAATGATTTTCGTTCTCAAACCTCAGTGCATTCATCAAATAGTAATACAAACTGAATAAGAAAGAACGCATTTCTATGAGAAACTTTTTATTCCCCAATACAATGCTTATACTCAAATTCGGTCCAAGCCTAGCTACCCCGTGTCAGTAACCAACATGGAAACAAATTCATCACTAATATCTTCATGTTTGTATTGTTCACATACATGGCGATGTGGATTCGTAGGAAAGCTTAACCTCTACTCTACACTTACTTGGCCTCACCACAGACACAGATGAAATCTGGTATTCTCTCTTGACCATATTACAAAGTTTACAGGTGCCTTCGTCTTTCCGTACACAGTGTACAAATTTTTGTCAGAGGAACATGTGCCTAGTAAGGATCAAGAAGAGCGGGAAGCCTCACGTAGTGGGCTTAATTTTTTAGAGATAGCTTTATTGTAATTGTTGTTTAGAAGGGCATATACTAGGAAGAAGATTCTGGTGGCCCCTACCCGGATGAACCCACGTGCCAGGTAAACTCTTGTATCACAAGGCATAAGCTCATTAATACTGGAGACTTCCGTACTTTTACTGCAAGATTTCCGTAATCCAAATATTAACCAAGAGCACTCGCTCCCCAGAGTTATTGGACAACGATTCTGAGTTTAAATACAGTGTCATTTTCATAATCTTAAAACATTTAACCAAACATCAACATGAATATTCGCAGGAAATTTCTTTGTACATTCTCAAGTTGGGTCAGTAGGCTGCGTGATACTATTACAGTCGTACGAAGGCTCCTCATCCCCTCTGTCGGGCAGATTCTCCCCGCTGGTATCTTTCATCAGGAATATGCTCAGCCAAACAACAACAAGGACAATGGAGTAGACAAGCAAGGGAACCCCGTGCTTAACGTATCGATCCAGTTCGTTAACGAAAGAGCATATGATGCTGCCAACACGAGCAAGCCCCAATACCGTTCCGAAAGCATTTGTCCGAATGTCTGAGGGAAACAATTCCGGAATGTACACATAGCACATACATAAGGAAGAGTTAAGAAGCACTAGTGCGATGTTCGAACAGACGGTCAGAAGTAAATCCGAACGAAGATGACCAAAAGTCGTAAATATACCGCCGAAAATCAGTGTACAGCTGCTCAACCCAATGATGCATGCGAGCGGCAGTCTGCGACGCTTTGTGTAACGGTATACCAAGGACGATAATAGTATAGCCGGAACAGAGGACGATGCATTCCAAAATGCAGCCAAATAGACTATGGTTCGCACTTCACTTGCATAGAGAAGCAGACCGAAAAAACTCATGACAATACCTGTAACGATAAAACAACAAAGCAAAGTGGTTTTAGCAAGTTTTGGGGTCGAAAACGGTCTCAGAATGGTAGATTTTTGGTTACTTGCGCTCCTCCGTGAAATCTGCTCACCAATTTGATTTTCAAATCCTTCTGGAGGTGATAAAACATTTTCAAAATCATTTTCAACCGCTTTCATTGACTTCCGTTTGTTAACGCGGCAACCAGTCTGAAGTACTCGTATAGCTTCGTTCGGACGGTTATTAGCCACAAGCCATCGAGGAGATTCGGGTAGGTAGAAAAAGTATAATACACTCAGTAAATTTGGACTCATAACCGCTAAATGCAGCCACCTCCATTGAGGTATCATGTAAGCTTCAAAAGCCATCAGTCCACGGTGTATGAAATTTATTCCAAGTGAGAGGGGAGCAGTTAAAACTGAACGATATCGGGCCACTGTAAGTTCAATGATCAGCACACTGGAAACGTTTATTTGCGCAGTATTGCCAATCGCCATTAAGAAACGAGCCAAGACGTAGCTAACGTAGTTGGGAGAAAGGCACGTCCACACACCACAACAGAGTTCGAAAATCGAAAATCCGAGCAATGTTGGTTTCCGACCAAAACGATCACCGAACCATCCGCCGAAAATAAATCCAAAGAGCATACCTAGCATATAAACAGATGTTCCCAATGGTACCAACCATGATTTCGCACACCGTGTGTCAAAATCGATAATCACATTTCCAGGGTAATGCATCGCACTCTCTTGATGCACAAATCCAAGAGGGCACTGTTCAACGGTCATGTTTTCGGTTCTGACAAAAGTGTTGTTTGGATCAAAGAATGCTATGAGGTCGACGCTACTCCAATCTAACTGGAAGCGTACACAACCAATGTCGTTTCCCCCTACTGAGCTAATCCTGGTACCAGCACTCGTATGCCAGGGTCCGATTCGACTTGCTATGTAATCAAATGTAAAGTTCTGTGCAGCAAAGTATTCTTCAGCTGAATCCTCCATCCGGCATCTGTGAGGTGAAAATGAATTGGCAAACACAGGAAATGTGGACAATGAAGCCGTACTAACTGCAAGCAGTACAGCTATTGACCACTGCCACAATCCACAAGGACCAACGATCTTCTCCAAAATTGAGTCAACGTGAAAAGTTGGAACCATGTCGAGCATACGTTTCACAGTTGTGATCAGCTTCTGAGAAGTTGAATAAAACTATGAATTCGAACAACTGAAACGTAAGCCATACCCTTATGAACAGACTTCTGACGCCCAGATGTCTTTTCTTCGTCTGACTGCCCACCCATTCGGATTGTCCAATAGCAACAAGAACGGTCGAGTGCCTATCTAACCAACAGGATTTCCAGTGTCGCACGTGTGAATTTAGAGCGTCTGTTTTGCTCTCCAAAAGCAGAATCGATCAGGCTACAGGATCACGTGGCAAGAAAGATGATTGGTTCCTCTTTCGAGACCTTGACCTCTGTCAGGGCAAATAATTATAGTTGGTAAATTCGACCAATCTGCAGTGGTCGTAACAAGGACAGAACGGCGTTTAGACACGAGCTTCGCCTCCTAGTGTGTAAATCAGGATGAATACCATGGGGAAACTTCCTTAGGGTTCCGATTGCGGTTTGTAATTGTCTGTGAGTTTGTCTGAACACTTATGGCTTCAACAAGAACACAAAGTGAGGAAACCTAATTTTCATCACTCTGTGTTCTTCTCTGTCATTTTGAATGACTACAGCTCTCACTTTCACCCTCTGCTGCTGTTCAGCACACACGTTATAAAACACCAATTTTTTCTGCATTGAGAATCACCTCACTCTTCAACTTGTTTGGAGAAAGTACTTCTAGTTGGATAACGCCAAACATGAAAAAACTGTGGCCTTCTTAAAAATAATTTTGCTAATTTCCTGCTGCCCGACCGAGCCAATATAGGGTTGATTAGAAAGACAGTCAATCTGGAAGAATCTGTTCGTACATACTAACGATTCTAGATTACCCAAGTCCTAAAATTCGCCCTCGGATATTCTCCGGCGCACCCTGTCTTAAAAGATTAGTTTGCAACGGCCTTGAATATCTTTCTCTCATTTTGTCTAACTTCAATTTTTGCAAGTATTGTACATCGATTAGTAATATCAACCTCTGGACCCTTAATCAAACTGGCATAGCTAGACAGCCCGCAGAACTTATTGTCATTTCCAGAAATCTGCAGAGCATAGCATTGTCGCATTTCTGCTTAAAAACAAACAGCTCGCAAACAAAAGTCAGTGAAAACGCTACATAAATACAAAAGCTATTTCAAATTCAAACTGAGAACTATTGAAACTGCATACTGATGTATGATTCCTTTGGATAAAGACCTCTCATTTCAAGGCCAAGATAGTTCGCATTCTGTTAAGAGGTGCAGAATACTGATATATCCTTTGTAAACACAAATACCCCTTGAGCTGCAAAGGCTGGTTCAACTTGCCACAAAACAAAAGAAAGAATGCTGTGCTGAGATTGGTAAGAAATTACCACTGCTCTGTTAAAAATAACCTTCCTTCCCAAACATGCCCAAAAACGGAATTTGCCCGGATTTTTTTCGAATGGTGGTTATTGGTTCGACTTTTTCCACCTATTGCATTGAGGCGCACAGAAAACCAGCACAGTACCTTCGTATTTATGTGCTCTGATACGTACGTTCCTTTGCATCAGTTTCTACTAACGGCCACCATCTACATGTTGGAAGTGGCTACTTGCATTACCTGTCAGTACAAACTGAATGTTTCCAACTAAAGTACTTGATTCTCCCTCTCTCCCTCTGTCAGCGAATGACAACAGGGTGAAAGAAAACGTTTGCTTAAAGTCCCTGAAGCAGACGCTCTATACTTGTATAACGATTCAACTGAGACAGAAAGCTTAAGATCAAATAACCACTTATAAAAACTGCTTGGTATCTATGCGGCTCGATGTACCAGAGAGTCGAAAGGGGCTGTTTACAGCAAACGCGCGTACGAGGTAAATCAGATGAAATTAGTGCACCAGAATATATATATATATATATATATATATATATATATATATATGAGAGGCACATCTATTTTGATCGTAGCCATCCTCTGTTGCCCTCAGTGGGTAATGAGCACCAAAGCGGGACTCAAAACCAAGCACTGTTATTCAAAAGGTCGCATGCGCGCGTATGGTCAAAAAATGTCATCACAACAGTCGGTTGAAAATTTTCAAATGAAAAAACAGATCTTTCAAATATTAGGTGAACACTTTTCTTGATGTATCCCACGAGTAGTAGAACATAAAATCCTGACTCTTTGCAGTTCTTCCTTTCTCCAGTGTATTACCCTTTACTAAAATATATACCCTCGGCTCATCTAAGATAAAGAAATCAAAACAAAGTATTCTTAGCTGTTTTCAAAGTTTTGTCCCACAAGTGATTTGTTTTTTGTTTGTGTATATTCATACGAATGCGAGAGCAGTTTGGGTTCGAATCTGTGTTCCCGGTAAACTTTTTTATTACTCACTTTGAAACAAACCAACCTATCCTATGATAATTTATTGCTCAGAATGAACAGGTCCTCATCTAGCGAATATACACTCATTTGCAAACTAATTTGGTTCTTCGTGAAACCCACCTGGAACCCACCTGAATCTCTCGTTTGTGGTGTTTTGAGGCAACTGAATGTGCTGCACCAGGCCGCCTCATGTTTCAGTCGCTACGATATTCGAGATATCGCGATACATGTATATCTTTGTAATGTACTACTCATAAGGTTGCTGAAAATCCGTCGACAACCCATGACCGGTTTCGCCTTTTTTGGGGGGCTTATCAGGTAGGCGCAGTCCCCGGGTTTCCGTCATCTTAACGTTCTAGTTGAAACAAAATTGCACCGATTTAGCGAATTTCCGAGAGACTCGTCTGGAACCCAGCTGGATCTCTCGTTTTTGATGTTTTCAGGTCCTCACCGATGTCCGTGCAATTACGGTCAGTTTTGGAAATAAAATGCTTTCACGTGTCTTGAGTCAACTCACTGAGTAAGATGAAACACAGTTGAAAATAATTTTGATTATTACATAAAGGCCACATAAAAGCAAGTTGGTTTTAGGCAGGATGAAAATTTCCTCGATGACGTACCAGAATTTCCGGTTTTCACAAATGTCAAACGGAAAACGTCAGTTGAAGATTTGTGCAAGAGATATACAGGAAAAATCTCGACGCTGCCGTGGGCTAATACTGCCTGTGTTGCTGCCCCTACTTACGCAACTGCTGATGATAACGATGTTGATTACGATGAAAATGATGACGGCCATGATAATGATCTTGGTCATCTGTTCAATAATAACAATGATGACACTGTCCAGGCTTGGAAGACCTGGAAGCATTTCAGCATTCGTACTTTCTTCAGGTGACGTGGCAGCTGCAAACCCAAAGGATATTTTTGCTGCAAGATTTTATTCAACAGACATCCCTATTTTGGTCAAATTATTGAACAAAATGAAGTGAGACAAGGCTGTCTCTTGAGAGGAAAGACTATCTCTTAGTTGTGCAGGTTACCAGCTACCACTGTCACACTTGAATCTCTCAGTGAGTCGATTTTTGCGAGCTCCGATTAAACCACCGTCATTGCCACTCACTGGTATGGTTTGTGTGGCTGCAATTACTGACCAAACTGGTGTTCAATCGATCGAATCGGATGCTTCGGATAAGCAGTCCAGCACAATTTTTTATCTCACCCCAAATTAGCTTGCAACCACTCCTCAGGTTGCATAACCCCAGGAAGAAAGGATCATTTTAGGTTGGGATTTTTGCCGGAAAATGATATCCATAGCATCAGAGTCCATAATTGGCTTGTGTTTATTGGCTTTCAATTAACACACTGTGTGTCAAAAATTCGTATTGGCTGGAAAAGGCTATGCCTAAGACAGATGATGAATTCACTGCTCGAAATCTGATCGAAATCCAACACGTATTTGTAGGTCTTTCTGCTATAGTCAGTTGACATCGGCATTCGTTTCTTTTACCAAAATGTCAATATTTTTCTCCATCCTGAGGGTAGGAGATAAGACCTGCCAATTTCAGCCTCGAAACTGCATTCCGACAAGACAGATGGACAATGTATGCTGCATTGAGTTGCGTTGATATTGACTAACGCATAAAACTGTGCAGAATGAGTCTTTTAAATCGAATTCAGTCTAATGGAGTGTCTCCAGCCCTGGAATTGAGTGCAGCTCCTACGCCGTATGCACTATGAAGCATTGCGTCTGAATCACGCAATAGCTGGACAGCTAAATCTAGAATATCGGTAGTGTATGTTGCGTGACCCTAAATTAGGTCATGTTTTGGAGACTTCATACACTGTCAGAAAAGGAAAGCAAAGTTTCAGCAAGGGATGACCGCTGCTCGATTCGACGGGTGTCATGACATGTAGGCTGTTTCATAGACCAGATCTTTAGAATTTAGAGAATGGCTTGCGTTGTTTTCTTTACTAGCCGATAATATAGGTTTTACATAAAAAATTGACGTCTGGCTGGATCACGATGAACTTGAGCGATGTCCGAGGGGGGAAGTTGGTGAACTAATAGCTGCCAGGGTGAATGATACCCTCCTTTCTCACCGGCCGAGGGAGAAGGTGTCCTGGTTATCCCATATTGCGCCTTCAACATAAGCATTCTGAATCATCTGACACAGAATCAGTTTTAAGCTGTAATCGCTTGCGCTTGCCGTATTGGAAAACCTAACCAACGACGCAATAAGAGGGTATGTAACGTGTGCACCAAACCCGGAAACAATTACTCATCCGCCACGTCGATGAGGAAGACGATTACCCAACTGATAAAAGCAGGGATTAAGACGCAGATGTCACTTCTGCTCATTGCAGAAGCACGAGGCTTTTAAACCGTTTTATTCGTCCTTCCGCCGCACTAACCGGCTGTCAAGGGTCTTTGCTGAAAAGTCCCATTATAATTCATACGAGTTATCTGATCAACTATAAATAATGATAATAATCGTTCAGCCGTAGCACCCTTTCGGTGCCTAGCTGCCATGCCACACGAAGGAGGCACGAGGGCTGTGATAATGTCAGGTCGCCCAAGTCTAGACAGGAAAAGTCGAATGGCAGAGGTCGGGTTCGAACCACGGACCTTCCGGTCAGTAAATTCGCGCTTTA